TCTCCTCTCTCTGAGGTCATCAAGTTCTCCAAAAGAGAAAGGGCCATCGCTTCCCTCTTCCTATAGGTTTCTTGAAAGCTGGCCAGAAAGAACTATTTTCCCAGTGAAAACCAGCTGGGAATTCTTGCAGAAATTATTTTGGCTACGGGAAATCCTCTTAGGCTAGGAGTAGGCAGTGTTTTTCAATCATGGGCCACCTTCCCACAGAGGTCATCTCCTAGAAGCAAGGAATTGTAAAGCCCCTGCCCAGGGATTCTCCTTTTTCACAGACATTTCACTCTTTTGTCTTAATCTCAGTGGCAGCATTCAGACAACACAAATAGTTTTAACCTTGGTTTTCATTTTCCCTTCTCAGAAGGCACACACCCTCAGCTCCTTTCACTAGTTTAGGATTCACTGTATTGTGCAAACCCAGAAAAGGGGCTTTTAGACCATCTCAACTCTCCCAAGCAGCTGCGGGAAATAAAAGAAGAGGCATAAGAGATTGCTGGCGGAAGCTTTGGAAATCAGACCCAGGTTGTGTGAACGTAGCTGAAGAGCCAGAGATGTCCACAAGAAGACTGAGGAAGAGAAACGACAAAGGCAACATTGCGAACTCCACCCCTTTGGTGTGTGCATTGTGACGTTGCATGCAGGCATGAAAAGGGCACAGCTCCCATTGTGGGGGAGCGGGGTGGAGTTGGTGTGGCAGTGCAATCCTGTTTTTGTCATTTTGCAAGAGCATCGGATTTTGCAGAGGTTTTGCAAGACACCTCTGTGCGCAAAGGTTCTAGGGGCTCTACCCCAAAGAGCTATGGGGCTTTCTCTGATCCTTATCGAAGGAATATAGTCAATTCTAGCACTCCTAACCTTGTGAGCACTTGATTCTTTTAACCTAATTTACTCTATTTGTCTGCCATTTTTCACAGACATGCTTCCCATCTGACTTTGGACAGACAAGAGAGAAGAACCTGAGTTACTGGGGGGAGGGGAAGAGAGGGGACGGGCTGCAAGTATCCCAATTTTTTAATTTTAGCTCAGTTATGTCCACCCACAGCCTTCTAAAACAGTAACAAAACTGGCGCACAAGAGAAAGTTACTTCCGAGAACTGCATTACCTCCAAGTTCAGAAAGAGTAATGTGTACTCCAGCCATATGGATGAGGATTGCACAATACTTGGGATTCAGACTCCCAAAGGGCTTCAGAGCGCATGGTGGTGCAAACAGAACAGCTGCCAACAGCATCTTAACGTTACCCCCAGGAAAAGGTGGGCAAACAGGGACGAAATCTCTTCAGAGCATCTTTTGGAGACGGAATTCGAAGCAATGCACAGCCCTTGTGGGTAGAAAGGCTGTGATTTTAGCATAAGAAATGTGCAAATGTCCAGCTACTTATGCCCCGCCAACTGTAACTGATCTCAAAAAACTAAGGAGACTCAGATCTGCTTAATACAGGGATTAAGGAGTAGAGCCTACAAGGAAATCCCAGGTTCGCAGAACAGTCTGGCAAGTTAAAATAATAATAAATCGACATAAAAAAGAAATAAAGCGACAGCCTTGCAATATACCACCCGTTTACACAACTGGACAGACAACCCGAGAGAAGCAACATGGAATAATCGGGACCGCTTTGTACATAACTGAGCTGTGATGGCATGATCAAGGCCACCAAATTAGGTTCTAGCCGAAGAGAAAAGTACATTTTCCCATCTGGAGTCCTTATCAATCAGATTTTTTTTAATCAAAAAGACATTCTGTGGTTGAAGAGATTTCACACACTAAAGCTGGGTTCCCCTAACATGCCAGACTAGGCTGAAATGACGCTGACTCATTTGGGGTTTTGTGTGTGGGGTGAGCCTAGCACGTTGTGGGGTTCAATCGTTGCACTGGCACGTTCAATGAAGTTGCTATCATCTGGTTTAGGTCTCTGGGCATCGCATGTTATATCAGCCCAGGAACTGTGTTTTGTGAGTCCGTCTGTACCAGTGGTGTGAAGGCAGCTTAAAAGGGCTCGTCACCACTGGTTCCCCCCTTTTCTTTAGAAAGAACAATTGAAAATGTGCAAAAAACACCCCACCATGACTTCTGAATTTGCCCCAGGTCAAACAAATGGCATCTCTCCACACAGGAATTCAAAGCCTTTGCAAGCCGCTTGATTTTTCACATCCTGCCTTTGCTCTTCCAGAACTGTGAAGCTGCAGCAGAGTTACCATTCACACACACACCCCTCCAAAAAAAAGAGGAAAAGCTGTTCCAGGAATGCCACTCCAACATGCACAACACACACATTCATTCTCTCTCTCTCTCTCTCTCTCTCTCTCTCTCTCTCTCACACACACACACACACACACACCCCTCCCCATCACTCCCTACCAACTCCTGCTCCCCTCAGTTTAATTACCACTAATGTAAACTGTGCTCCATAAAAATCGTTGGCACGCTGCCCTGGAGAACTGATCAGTCCCATAAATTCACTGCAAAGAGCTGAATACGATGGGGGGGGGGTGTTTTTCCCCCAGCCCTCCCCCCTTCTGTTTTTTTCTCCTCTTCTTGACTAAAAACGGGTACTTGCTCAAGGGCAAAAGCTTTTTAAACAGGATCATAAATGCTTATTACACGGGCGCTGCGCTCGCTTGATGGGATTAGCTGGGGGAAAAATTGATCACCAGGTCCTCTCCCCCCTCCCCCACTAACAAAGAGCAGAGGGAGAGGCTCGGAGGAGGAGGGGGTTCCCAAAGCAACTTGCAAGGGGTGGGCAAGTCTGGAAACTGGCAAAGCAAGGGGTTCTGCACAGCCGCCTGGCCAGGATGACCTTCCCCGAAACACGCTGAGACCCAGGGGCCATCAAGCTATTAAACTCACAGGAGGTGCATTTCTGGGGTGTGGTGCACAGGAAGAAACAGCAGAATCCAAAGGAGAAAGAGAGGCAAGACACAGACTTGGCTGGAGTCTGCAGGCATGGCTGGCAGGGCAGGGACAGAGCACCACTGCCCCCTTGGCAAAATGCAGCCAAGACACAACCCGGGTGCCCTGAGTTTCATGCAAAAGACTGGCTGCACCAAAAGTTTCCAGAAAAGGGGAAAAGTAGGGTTATTCCCCAAACTGCCTACCTGTAGGACCTGACATTTGGGATCCTTTCATGAGTTCTTCAGGGGCTCCCTATCCAATTAACACCCCGATCCACAGGCTTGCTGTTCAGGAAGACAGTCCCGAGCAACTGAACTGCAGGTCCGTTTTGAGTGCCAACCCTTTGGGGACCAGTAGCTGCCCTCTTTCACTGCAGGACTGTGCCCCACTTTAGCTTTCTATACTATTAAAATCAGGAGGGGTTTGGTAGCCCCTTTCTAACTTAAGAAGTTGTACTGAAAGACTTATGCTTTGGGGAGCTGCGCTGACCTCCTCAAAGGCACAGGGTGGCTAGACTGATGTAGGATTTAAATTGGAAGGAGGAGAGGGAAAGGGAGGGGAGGACAGGTTGATCATGCAGATGACATGCGAGACAGATAACAAGTGCCTAATCAATTAACAAATTGTAATGTGTTAAAAGCCTGCTGTGTTTGCTAAGACTTTCTGAGATGGCCCGTGTTACAATAAGTCTGTTTCTTGGATCGGAAGTCACCAAGGGGGGTTTCCATGTGGGCCGATAAGGGCACGGTGGAAAGGTTCCAGCATCTTACTGAAACAGAGTGCTGGAAATCTGGGGTGTTCGTTATGGAGCTCCCCCCATTATGAAGGTACCCCAGAATTAGAGAGTCCCTCAAGATGGACAAGATCCTGGAAACATCACCCAAAATAAAGATCTCCACCAAATGTTGTGGGATTTGCAAAAGGATTTGATTTAGCAAGGCAGCACTAACAGCCTACTGTTCTACAAACCTGGAAAGGAAACACAGTCCAACGTACATACAATTGGATTTAAAATCGCTCAATTTAGCTGCCATGAAAAAGTGCATTAGACCAGAGGGAAAATTCCACTTAATATGGGGAAATTTTCTGAAATGATATTTAGAGCAATCACTGCCGAACCACTGTATGTTTTTCATAGCACCGAGACAGTTCTTTTTATGTAACCTTTTCTTTAGTTCATTTGCACTTAATTCTTTTATTCGTATTAATGATCCCTTGTCTTTCAATTAAAGAAAGTAGGAAGATAGGATGGTGAAACCTTGCAGAGGGCGTAAAGGGCAGGCATTCATTGTTGGCATTGAACTGAAAAGCAAATAAACTTTTCAAGATTAGTAACAACGCCAATTTTTAAAGACACGAATGTCTCTCTCAAGTAATTCCATTCACCTTTCCTTGCTCAGATTTTCCCATTAGCATGACAAAATGAAGCTGGATCGCTCATCTTCAAAAGACTCCTCAAAATTTGCAGAGCTATGAGACCTTTGACTTGACCTTCTGCCCAGCGGCGAGCAAACTTCACTTCTGCAGCTGGATCTCCTTTATTTTGCATTTGGACCTCAAAAGTCTGGTAACTGAAGCCAGGTGTCCCCCAAAGGGTCTGAAGCTTGCCCACACAAGCTGTTTTAAATCACAGAATCCTAGAGCTGGAAAGTAGAGGGCATCTTAGAGGACATCAGGTCCAACCTCCAACTCAGGGCAGGACCCACAAAAGTAACTCTGACAGATGACCATCCATCATCTGCCTGAAGTCTGCTAACGAAGGAGAACTCGCCATGTCATACACTGCCTGTTCCACTGGCTGATAGATCAAACGCTCAGTAATTTCCTTCTGATGCATCCTTTCTCGCACTTTTAACCCATTCATTCTGATCCTCCCTCTACCCAACTGGCTCCCAATCTCTCCAGAGTCTTCTGGGTCTTGCTAGGCATTTTGTTTCAACCATTGTTCAGCAGTTCGGAATCCTTGCTGATCATCTGAAAGCCATCTACTGATCAACCAGCGGATCCTAGCCAATCCACAATCTTAGCTCTTACCTGGATCCAGATGGTTCCCTGGATCCTGTGCATTGCAGAAGTCCAACTTCCCCCTCCCCCAGTCTTTGCAGCCCACACACCTGAAGTTTGGGGCAGAAGCCCACTCGAGCGCCAGGCAGGCCAAATCCACAGTAGCGTAGACCAGCAGGAAGAATATGGTGACCACCGCAGCTATGGTGTTCAGCTTGCCAGAAAAGAGCACCAGCTGTGAAAGACAGACAACAGAGGTCAGGAATGATGGGATGGGCAGCCAGCCACAGGACATCAGGGCCCCCTTCTTGTTGCACGTTCCCAGAATCCCCCAGTCGGCAGGAGGGATTCCGGGAGCTAACACTCAACACATCTTCCCAAGTTCGGGAAAGCTGGTGGGTGGGAGACTGCTACAAAGCAAGAATTCCTGATGGTGCAGGGGTCTAGT